AATATTACGAGTATTATAAGACAAAGGGACAAGATGTTTCCTCTGCTCTTCCTCATTACAGGATTGAAGGAATCATTCCATAGTGAATACTTCCAAAAAATAATAATAATAAAATCAAAATCTTTCATTATTTAGATGAATATCTTCCTACTGTCTGGGTTTGTTTTATTGTACTGCGTGAACAAAAGACTTATATTCCAAATATTAATTTCTTTGTGCATTATTTTCATCAATAAATATTTCGGAATACATTCGAAGTCTCCTGCCCTTTTGGTTCTTGTAAACGGATTCTTGATTTTCTTTTTTCCTTTTTTTTTCTCTGTTTCTTTCTTGCTATGAATTTTAAATCATAGCAAAACCTCTCCATAGTAGCAGTAGAACACAAACTATAATTTTCCTCGATTTGACAAATTTTATAAATAATTTATTAATAGTCAAACATCATTTTTAATCATACAATTCAATATATATTTTATAAATTAAACCGTTTATAAATTCTTCCCGAATGAAATATTAAAGATAATTTAATTGTCTTTAATCAGTTTAATGTTAATAATTTTGTGTAGTATTACTGAGTTGACCATGAAAAAGTCTAGGTTGGTAATTGCACCACATTTACCACCATTTTGCCGGTGCCTACATCAAGAAAGGCAGTTTCTGCTGCTTCTATCCCTGTTTGGAATGATTTGATTCACATGTATGCCCCTGTATTTTATCAATTGGATAATAAAGAGTTAGTGTCATGGACAATTATTGGATGGTTCAGTAAGCAAGGGCTTGCAGGAGATAAAAAAATTCCGGGATTCGCCCCAATGAGGTAACATTCCAATATGTGCTATAAGCATGTAGTCATTCAGGTATAGAAGAGAGTCTAGAAATTCAACAACATGAGAGTCAGATGGTGATATGCATAAATTAGTTACATTTCAAATGGCGATATAAGCGTGTATATATTAAATTATAGCAATCAAGGTAAATGGAATTCTACTCGAAACGGATTTGATGGGAGCATTAATGTCCTCTACACACATTATGTGATTTCAATGCTAAACCTCATGTTCACTACTTCACATAAAGAGATTTTCTAAAACTCATGTTTCATCACTTTTCAACTTCAACATGCAATGCGTAGGATGTAAAGAATTTGAGTTGTTAGAATGTTTCATGTTGACTCAAATTAATTTATTTTTATAAGTTCTTTGGGAGAAAAAAAAAAAGGAATTTCCCTAATTGAGAAAGGAAACTACAAATCGAAAGCACAAAGGGTAATTATTAAGCTTAGAATAATGTTATTCATAGTTACTGTTTATTCATAAATAGTGATGTTATTTTTAAAATTATTTTAATTATCCAATCATC